CCCACCCACCTGCTGCCCCAAGCACGATTCGGGTGGCACCTGCAGCATCAGGCAGTGCTCCAGGCAAAGTCACGCAGGCTCTGCAGGGAGTTTAAGATACCCAGTGGCATTTCATGTGATTCCACCTTCCTGTTATGTTACAAAACTTAACCGTGATCCCAGAAAAATAAAAAATAAAAAAAATAAAAAAAAAAAGAGCGACGATGACAAACTTTCCCTGCCCTTGCACCGTGCCTGCCAAATCACCACCTCTTCCTGGGAGAGCCTTTCCACGCATTTGATCCCAGGCTGTGGAGCTTAGCCCACCATAACCAGGAGGTACAGGAGATCCTGGATGAATAGGGAGAGGATTAAACTCTTGCACTTGCATTTGTCCTGCAAGTCCAAAACCTGGTTCCTCCCTTTCAAAATCTGTCATTAGGAGCCCCGGAATTACAGGTTGAAGTTGTGTAACCGGTTTGCTTGTTTTCCAAGTCCCATCCGGGGCTCGCCCACGCTTGCACAGTGGCCTTGGGACAAAGGTCCCCGTGTGCCACCCGAGCAGGGGGGACCCCCAGAAAGCCAGGGAGGTGTGCTTTTGGGGAGGCGACCCATGCAAATTTGAGTGAACCCCCAGGGTGGACCCCCCCAAAGCCAGGGAGATGTGCTTTTGGGGAGGCGACGCATGCAACCTTGAGTGAACCCCCAGGGCGGTTTTGAAGGCCTCATCCACAAGCAGGAGCTTTGGGACAGCCTCCGAGAGGCATGGAAAAGGGGGCAGCGGTGCAGTCCCCCCCCAGCTGCGGCTGGGACCCCGCTCCTCCCCGGGGGTCTAGCCCAGGCCTCTCTCGGAGCAGGTTGCTCGTTGCCAAGCACGGATTGTGGATTTCTAAAACCGGCCTGCCATCTCCTGGGAAGGCCCTGAAATGCAGCACAGACAGCCCCGACCGGAGCGGAGAGGCGATCGCCTTCTCCAGCCTCACCCCAGCTCCCCTGCGCTGCAGCCCAGGGCTTGCGGGGGCTCCTGCCCTTGCTCCTGCCTCAGCACCCCAGGGAAACCGACCCCACGCCCCACCCGAGATTCACAGACTTCCTTTTTTTCGCCCTGGGACCTTAAGATGTGCTTGCAATGCTTATGCGAAAGCCAAGCAAAAAACCACGCCGCCACGCGCCTGCTTCAACACCCCATGGTGAGACCCCTCTGGATGGGGCCAGCGGCGGGGGGATCGGAGGCAGAGCCCCACAGCCCCACGACACCCTCTGGCAGCAGCGGCTGGGGAGAGCCGACTGTCACCCCAGCTGGCAGCACACTTGTGCATTGGTTTGCATCAAGCAACACACCCAAAAACAAAGGAACCAGAAGAGTTGGTCAGAAGGAAGTTTTGAGATTGCCCATGGGAGTTTTCAAAGCATCACAAAGCTTTGGTAGGTTTGGGGACTAGAAGAGAGCTGATGTTGTGCAAATACTTTATGAAGGCAGCCTGGCCTGCAAGTGTCAGCACGCATTGTCTAGTCTTGCCCTTAAAAAAAAACAAAACAAAACACTATGAAAATACTGCAATATTTCCAGCAGAAAGACATGTTTGTTACTGTAACAGCCACAGCCTATAACAGAAACAACCTGCAATCCTTCAGCTAGCCCAGGGATCACCAGGAAATGTAATGTTTGTAGAGCACTTGGTACACCAAACACAGCTTGTGCCAGGACAGCAAAGCTGCAACTTTCCCCACAGCTCTCATGCCACACCGCTGTGGGAGGAGAGGATGGCCATCTGCAAACATGGCAAGGGGGGGCATGCACCACAGCCCCAGCGGGCCGGGATCCCCCCCTCTCTTGCTGCTGGCACTCTCAAAGCGAGTGATTCAACGTACCCATGGCCGATTACTCCATAGCTGTCATTGCACGCGTTGCTTCCGCAGCGACATTGCAGCACAGTGGCTTTGGGGAAAGCCACACTGTGCACTGTTTGGGCTCGGGAGGCCCCTTCTTCCGGAGAGCAATAATAAAAGGGCTTTGGGCCAGGTATGCCAGTTGTTTATTTTTTATTGTGCTGGATATGGGTGGGAATGAGAAACATCACAAAACATGGCTATGAGAGGAAGTGAGCAGATGAAAGATTTTGCAGCTCTAAGCAATAAATTGTAAAGCAAATTGGCTCTTTGGCAGGCATTCAGGTAGGAAAGGCTCATAGTTGGATGCTCCAGGATTCAGCTCATAGCTGGGCGCTCCAGTTTGCTTTAATGTCTTTCCACAAAATCCTATAGCAGCAAACTCTTTTTAGGGTCATGGTCCGACAATTGGCACACACCCCCCTATGCAACATCAAGGCCCAACTGGCACACAGCATCCCAAAGCTGACTACCTGTGAGCCCAGGGTGGGCTTGGGCAAGGCAAGTCACCTTGTCCCTCCAGTCCTGGGGTGCATTAAGAGGAGGGTGGCCAGCAGGTCGAGGGAGGTTATCCTCCCCCTCTACTCTGCCCTGGTGAAACCCCACCTGGAGTACCGTGTCCAGTTCTGGGCTCCCCGGTTCAAGAAAGATGAGGAACTCCTAGAGAGAGTTCAGAGGAGGGTGACAAAGATGATTAGGGGACTGGAGCATCTCCCCTATGAGGAAAGGCTGAGAGAGCTGGGCTTGTTCAGCCTGAAGAAGAGAAGACTGAGAGGGGACCTCATCAACACGTACAAATATCTTAAGGGTGGAAGTCACGAGGTTGGAGCCAGACTCTTCTCAGTGGTGCCC